GGTCCCGCGTGTCGTGGCTGTGGCGCTACCCTCGCTGTCCCATCGTCCCCAGGAGCCCTGCGTGGCCGCGCTGGCGCGGGTGGAGCGGACGGACTTCCTCTCCCCGATGTGCATTGGCGAGGTGGCCAACGTCAGTGCCGAGATCACCTACACCTCCCGGCACTCGGTGGAGGTCCAGGTCAATGTCATGTCTGAAAACATTTTAACAGGTGGGTGGCTCTGTCCCACAACTCCAGGAGTCGGGATAAACCGAGAGCTCGCGGCAGTGACCCCATCCTCCGCCCGCTGTGGCCGGCAGCATCGGGCAGAGGAAAGGTCTTGCCCGTTTATCGGGAGTGCTGGGGGCAGCAGGGAGGGGTGGCGCAGGAAGGGGGGGGCCAGGTGGGGTCCCTGTGGATCACAGCTCCTTTGATAATTTTTAGCCAAGAATAGAAAAATCCACCTTTAGCTCCTCCTGCTTAATTTGCTGCCCGTGGCTGCCTTTGGCCTGAAAAAGGCCCTTTTCCTGCTGTTGCCGTGGCAACCGGCTCCGCTTGCTGGGATGCCTTCCCAAAAGTGCACTGTCACATCCGCTCGGCGCCAGAGCCTGGCAGGAGCCGGCAGGGCAGGGGCTGCCACCGGGCCTGTGTGCGCCCAGTCCCGGACCGCGGCGGCGCCAGTGGTGGGCAAAGCGGCATCGGTGTGGTCACCCCCTGCCCGCCTCCCCTCCAGGGGCAAAGAAGGTGACGAACAAGGCGACGCTGTGGTACGTGCCGCTGTCCCTGAAGAATGTCAACAAGGTCGTTGAGGTTCCCCCCATCCAGGTAGGACGGCTCGCTTTGCTCCTCGGAAAGCAGAGCTCACCCTTCCCAGGGGAATGGCGCTGCCCTGGCCCCGTCCGCACCGCGGCTGTGCCGGTGGCTTTGCCGACCCTGTTCTTACTGGCCTTTCCTTCCAGTATGCGAGAAAGGAGCAGGAGGACGAGGGGAAGAAGCGTTACGAGGAGCAAAAGCTGGATCGGCTGGAAACTAAGCAGAGAAACGGCGACGTGATCTTCCCCGTCATCAACCCAGGTAATGCGGGCGGTGTGTGGCCTGCGGGCACGTCCCGGGGGCACTGGGAGGCTGAACTGGTCCCTGAGGCAACTCCAGCCATCCCTGGGCACCCCCGGCTGTGAGTGTGCGCTCCGAAACGCTGCATCGGGGATGGGGATGGGGTTTTGGAGCCATGGTGTGCGAGAGGAGGGGGAGCTGGGCAGGCGCTTGTGATCCCCCCTGGACTGGTGGGTGGGATGCCCTCTCCCAAAACACGGCTCCTGCACCCCCCCTTGCACCCCTCATGTGCTCCGGGGCAGCGGGAGGCAATTTTACTCAGCGCAGGGTAAACGCAAGCGTTGGGGCAAGGGCTCTGCACACTCTGCAGCTGCAGCCCCTCTCCGGAAGTCATCGGCTGGAGTTTGCAGGGGGGCTGAGCTACGGGGAGGAGCTGGGGGTCTCGTTCTCCCTGGGGGATGGCTGGGGATCCCTTTCCTACCAAAAGCTTCTGGAAACATGGTGGCAGCGTTGACGGCGAGCCAAAGGGGCGAGCAGCCGTTGGCCTCCAGGGCCAGCTGTGGTCCTCAGGCAAAGGCAGAGATGGCTCATGGGAATCGTCGGGGGGGTGATGTGGGATCAAAGTTGCTCAACTGCTTTTTTTCCCCTGTGTTCTCCATGCTCACAGACAGGCAGACGAAAGGTAAGGCTCTGCGGGTGCTGCCATGTGGGTGCCCTCCCTGTCGGTTGGGGGCTCAGCTGTTTTTTCCTGCACTAAGTGCCTTTAGCATCTCTCGTCAGATGGGAAAGCCCAACCACCCCCGAGAGCAGTTTTCCTCTGCTGGCAGTTGGAGGGTGCGACTTCTGTTGCCTGGATTTAGTGGCGAGTCAGATGTCACCGGCATGTGCTGGGGCTGGGGGCCTGGGGGGCCAAGGTCTTCACGCCCAGGGCAGAGCCTGGCTCTGGAGACACTGCTAAGCAGCAAGTTTGGGGAGATTCGGCTGAGGCTGGCGGCCGGAGGAGGGAAAGTGTACAGCCACGTGTCCATCCGCTTCCCTCCTGTTTGCTTTCGGGCTTTTTGAAACCTTTAAAAGAATAAATGAGCTGAGCTGGAATTAAATTGATGGGTTGGCATTCGAGGGAGGTGGCAGCCCGTCAGGTGGTGAACAGCCTCTGTCCTTGGGACTTCTCGGGGCCGATTTAAATGCTGGTTTGGACATACTTCAGCTTCGCACAAGCCAGCCCCAAGATCTGTCCCTTCAGAGGGGGCGTACGGAGGCGAACGGGTGCTGGCCGAGCAGCTCTGACCTCCGCTTCGCTCCCTTTCCCCATCCAGAGCCGCACACCGTTGGCTACAGCCAGTCCAGCCTGATCCACCTGGTGGGACCGTCGGACTGCACGCTGCTGGGCTTCGTGCACGGAGGTGGGTGAGCGCTGCCCCCCGCAGCGGCTGCGCGGCTCCCCGGAGCAGAAGCGTGGCTGGAGAGCGACTCGCGCGTCCCGGTGTTTTCGGGAGGTGGGCTCTGCTGCTGAGGGCGCACAGGCCCGTCTCCACTGTAAGGTTCTCGGGTGCTTCAGCCGAGACAAAAGCTTTGTCTTTGTGCTTAAAAAGGCCCCGAGGACTGACATACCCGAACTGTGAATCCCACAATTTTGTCATAATCTCTTAAACTGCAAATCTCGGATTATAAACACCCTAGGCTGCAGTTTGCTCTTTCCTCTTGGCTGGCAGGGCAGGGTGGAGGTGTGTGGTGTGAGCCCGGGGAGAGGCGTGTTCGCCAAGGGCTGGCACAACACCGGATGCCGTTTTCATCTGATTGCATCCTTAAAACAAACAAAACAATGTGGCTTAGAGCTCTTTCCAAGCAGGAAGTTTGTGGGACTGATCTTGCCCTTCAAGGCTGTTTTGCTCAAAGAAATTCAGGAGAGTCAGAGCTGGCCTAAATCTTAAGCCCAGGTCTGTAAGGATGTGGGCCTGGTGGTACTCGTGACAGGAGTCTTGGTGCTGGTACTGGGGGTTTCCTGCAGCTGGGATCCAGTCTCTGCTCCGACTCCTTGGTGTAGCTGTGGTCGTGCAAAGGCTTTACCCATCCACGTGTGGCTTTTCCCCAAATCCCACTGGCTTCCCTCAGAGGGGACCCTCTGCCTCCCCCCTCTCCAGGTGTCACCATGAAGCTCATGGACGAGGTCGCCGGGATTGTGGCCGCCCGCCACTGCAAGACCAACATTGTCACTGCCTCGGTGGACGCCATCAACTTCCACGAGAAGATCAAAAAAGGTACTGGGGGGTGTGGTGGACACTTCACTCTCCTGTGGTGCCACATTCCAGCTCCCTCGGGTCAGCTCAGGACATGCTGGCAGAGAAATTTATTCCCCGTTAGACTTGTCCTGTGCTGAGAAGCTCTGCTTAAGACGTGGCTGAAGCATAAAACACGTGGGACCCCTTGCTCCCTTCCTCTGAGCAGAAGCAGGGGCCTCCCGCTTAGCTGTCCCCTCCCCGCTCTGCAGGCAGCGTCATCACCATTTCGGGGCGCATGACCTTCACGAGCAATAAATCCATGGAAATCGAAGTCTTTGTGGATGCTGACCCCTTCGTGGACGAGCCACGGGAGCGGTACCGTGCCGTCAGCGCCTTCTTCACCTACGTCTCCCTGAGCAAGGAGGGGAAGCCCCTGCCTGTCCCGCAGCTGCTGGTAAGAGCTCGCTCTCCTCGCCGAGCTGCGAGACAGCCGGGCCAGCCCCTCTCCTGCTCCTCCCAGCTGCCTTTTATCTCCAACAAATCTGCTTCCTTTCAATTATCCAGCAAAAAAATATGCACGTGAACGAGCCTTTCCAGAGCAGGCTTCAGGGATGGGTTTTTATTAATTTCTCCTGAGCGCTGCTGATGTGGGGTTTGGGTGGGTTTTCCTTTCACGAGGTTGAGGACAGGCTCTGCAGCTTCCCCCCTGCCTGCGCTGGAGACATGCGGGAGGGAACCCTGAGTGGTGACGGAGTCCCCCGTGTCCCGGCGGTGTCCCTGCCCCAACCCTCCTGCCTATCGTTAGCTCTCCTGATCCCGGCAGGGCTTTGCTGACGCAGCGCTGCTGACCGGGGGCTGTTTCTTGGTTCACATTTTATCCCACTCAGGTCTCCTCCTGCTCCGTGCAGGAGTACAGGGGCTGTCATACGCGTATTTGACAGCGCTGGTTTTCCTTCACATTTCCCGTGAGGGGAAGCGCGTTTCCCTCCCACGGGCGCTGCTAACGCCGGTGCCTTCGCTTTCTTTCTGTTGCCGTCAGACGGAGACGGAGGATGAGAAGCGGCGCTTCGAGGAAGGGAAGGGCAGGTACCTCCAGACGAAAGCCAAGCGGCAGGCGCAGATGCAGCAGGCTGCCCGGCAGTGACCCCGTCCTGCGCCGCCTTCGCCCGCCAAACGTCCCGGTCCCCGTTCATGTTGTGTCCGGTCTGCCCCGGGCCTCGCGCCTTCGCCCGCCCCAGCCTGCCGCCGGAGCTGCCGCGGCTGCTTCGCTGCTGATCGGTTTAGCGCCGTAGACCTCGTGCTTTAGGTGGCTTAAGCACCCCGAAAGCCCCCGGGGAGCCCTCCCGGGCGCT